CCACCCGCGCCGGTCTCCCTGAATCCCTCTGTGCCGGCATTCGTTCCTGTCGCCCAGCCCCAGGTTCCCTCTACCGCCTCCAGCGGCAAGCCGGCCTCTTTCAACGTCTCTGCGGCGGTCTTCATGCCCAAGATTCAAGACGTGCGGGCTCCTAGCGTCGACGAGGATGCGCGTTACGCTGGCTTATCTGCCAGCATGTGGGCCCCTACTCCCATCGCAACACTTCCCGTCGTGCCCGCCAAGAAGCCTTTGGTGTTGCGGAGGGCTCCTCCTGCGTTCTGGTCCCCCGGCGGCTGCGCGATCCGCATTGCGGCTCCTTCCGGCTCGTCGTCCTGAATTTTGCATTTTTCAGAGAGTTTCGGTCAGTCCCCTTATTTTGGTCCCGAATTTTTCTAACATACTATATTCAGTGAACGTTCCTATAGGTTGTACTATCACCTTCCTCGGCTTCCCTCTCTTTTCCTCTGGTGTATTTGTATATCTTTGAAACCCCCACATTGCTCCTGGTGCGTTTCTCACCCACCCTATATCATACGATGTTTTCTAACATGCAAGTCTTTGTAGCGACATTCCTATACTTTGTACTATCACCTGGCTTGGCCTTTTCTTCCTTTCGGCATCCTATCTGCTTCGATGTATTTTTTACACCTATTGCTTGGGTGAGTGATTTTTTCCTTCCTCTCACTCGACGGTATTCTCACCCACTTGCAGCATACCCTACCGACATTCCTATGCCTTGTACTATCACCTGGCCTGGCTTCTTCTCTTTTCGGCACCCTATGGCTTCGGTGTGTTTCTTCTTCTCTCCTCTCACTTGACGGTGTTCTCACCCTCTCGCAGCATACTCTACCCGCATCCTACTCACATCCTATTCCTATCGACATCCTACCGACATCCTAAGTCAATCTCAAAAGCCGTCCAGTCCCCGGGATCGCCTTCGCTTCCTGTGGTTCTGGTGCGTATTATCCTTCCCTTTGTATCCGCTATTTCACTCATTTGGATCCTCAGTGATCTGGCCTGTAATTGTATCTTCGGTCTGGTGCTCGTTTGCTCGGAGGGAGTTGGGTTGTATCTGCTCGGGACGTCCACCGTTCTCGATGTTTTTTATCTGCTTGAGATGTCCATCATTCTTGAGTGTTCTGTATACCGTGAAATTCATATTTGTTCATGGCTATATTGCGAAGGACGGCTCTGAGAGGATAGATATTCCAAGTGCTTGAGATCTTTGAAAGTGCATGTGTAGTAGTACGCGAGTGACAGTCTTCGCATCGTTCGGACAGAATTGTGGGGCAACGCATGCTCCAAGGGGTAGATCCACGAAAAATTCGCCGCACAGCGCTTTGTTTCCTAAGCAAGAGATTAATATACAGGCCAGGGCATTTTTTGAAGACGTTGATGGCACGGAACGAGGTCTGTTTATTCCGGCTCCTGCCGGCCATCACGCATCACGCATCAACCGTTATAAAAGGCCACGAATTTTCCTCAATCATCCGAGCGCGTCTTGGTTCCCTTCCACCACAATGTCATTTGTTTCCTTTCCTTTCCTTTCCTTCCCTTTTCTCATTCCCTCATTCTCTCTTGCCCCGTCCCCAACTGGCCTCTTTCTGCCCGAGCAGTGCTTTAACGCATCCACCCTGTCTTGGTTCTGGTGATGGCCCACACCGTCGATCTCTGCGCGTCTAATCAGCGCGCAGAAGGACCTAGAGAAATGGCAGCTCTACTCGATGGAGCTCTCATGGTTTTAAGTGTCCTACATCCCGTCTCTTTTTCTTTTTTTTTTGTACTGTACTTTACCGTGTCTGCCCTGTGTAGTTTGAATGCAATACCTTTTTTTTTGCATCTCTTTTTGAGGGCAGCTTGCAGCGAGCGTCGTATAGATCGTCGTTCCTGTCGAGACATTTTGAAGTCGATCCTCATCGACCACGATATGAGTACAACTCAATTTCTCTTCGACCGGCGTCCAGCGTTCGTGCACTTACGAGAGCGAAGTGCTCGCAGGGCGGTCAGTCGCCCGCTATAATTTATTGTTCATACTTTAAAATGCATTTTTCTATGTCCCTTTCCGCTTTCCGCGTATCCACTCACTCGACTCTAGCACACCACACGGCAACCCGGGTACACCAATTCACCAACTCCGCGCACCGCACCGCCCTCCGAGTCAACCCGTCACAACAAATCCGCCTTCCCAAAGGGCCCGACATGCGGCAGCGGCGGCGCGTCGAGCTGCATCATCGCGAGGAAGTCGTAGACGATCTCGGCCGCAAGAATTCCCGTTATGTCCGCTGTGTAAATGCGTAAGTATTCAAGTAAAGCGCGATTCAGAGTGGGAAGGGGAAGGAAGGACGCACCGTTGTCGTATGCTGGGGCAACCTGAAAGACGCGTTGGATGAGCGATGCACAGTAGAATGTAGTACAAGTAAACGCACCTCGACGATGTCGGCTCCGCTGTTAATCAAAAAAATCAGCAAGAGGAGAAGAGAGGGGGGAAAGGTAAATGCGCACACGAAGTTGAGGCCCGCGAGGCCGCGGAGGATGCGCTTCACCTCGCGCGCCGTCCATCCGCCCGGCTCGGGCGTCCCAGCTACATAGCACACATTTATTAAAACGAGAAATTAGATAGAGAAACGAGCCTTACTTGCGGGGGCGAGCCCGGGATCCACGACGTCGATGTCGAGGCTGCAGCGCGTCGTGTGAGCGGCAGTATTGGGTGCGTAGGGGCGTAGGTACATACCTAAGATACACCGGGCTGCTCCCGATGCGCTGCCGGATCTTTTTGATGACCTGCGCGATCCCGTAGTCGTCGATGTCGTCTGTGCTGATGACCTGGAACCCCACGCTGTCGTCGTGCTCGAGGTCTTGGGCGCCCTAATTACGAGGTCAGCGCACCGGGAATTGAATTCTGCGTTGGTTACTTGCGTTCATCTGGCACCGGATGCCCGCGTGAATGCTCGTGTTCGTCATGAGGCCCTCCTCTGCTGCGATAGAGAAGAACGAGCCGTGGTCGATGCGCTCTTGTCCGACTGTGCCTGGCCGCGGCGCCCAGGTGTCCAGGTGCGCGTCGAAGTGTATGACGCTAGACAATGTCAATTCCATTGTATACGATAGGGAAGACAAAACCATACCTGACGGGCCCGTAGACTTTATTCAGCGCCCGCAGGATGGGCAGGACAATGGTATGGTCGCCCCCCAGCGTGACGAGTCGCGGGTGCTCCTTGCCGTCCACGGCGAACGCAGCCGTGCGCGACTTGTACGCCGCCGTCGTGCCCCCGTGCACCGGGCGAGCCAGCAGCGTTAAGTACGCGGCCTCCATCTGCGCAAGCGCCTTGGCGTTGTCGTACCCGGACACGGGCACGTCCCCGCAGTCCAGCAGCGACGCGCCGAGCTCACCCGGACTCGTGCCCCACGCGAGCGTCGCGCGGTCGGTGCCCTGGCGGCGCGACCCCGAGCGGATCGCGAACGGGCCGAAGCGCGCGCCTGCGGGGGAGGGAAGCGATCAGCGCGGGTACGTATGTTGGCAGCGTGCAAGCGTACCCGGGCGATAGGACGTCGTGGTGTCAAACGGCATCCCGAGGAGGCCGATGTCGAAGAGCGCGGTGCCGTCTTCGAGACAACGCGAGTAGGCTAGGTGCGCGAAGGAGAGAGGGCCCGTATATCCCAAGTCAATCTGGGCTCCGAACTGCTTTGTCCAGGGCTCGTTGGCGACGTCCACAGCGTCCATGAGCATGGGCTGTTGGGAGAAGTCATCGCGGTCGTGGTGCGCGTGTGCATTAACGCGCGCAGGCGAGAGCAGCAGGAGGGCGGGAAGGATAGCGAAGAGCATGGCAAGCTGAAGGAGAGCAGGTGCTATAGATATTAGCATGTTATCGCGGAACGTTATCGCAGAACAGCCGGCCGCGGCGAATAGATGGGTTGATAGCGCGGGCAAAGCGCGGGTTTGTTCGTTTGTCCATGGGTGCAGGGACGTTAGTTGCTGGAGAAGGAGGAGGTGGTAATGGACGCGTCGGAGGTGGACGCGTCTGAGAAAGAAGGAACACGGTAGTGCACCGCCACTTATGGACTTGATGTCTCGTCCTCTGGGCTACCAGGGCGGCCTCTTCTCCCTCGGCCGGCCTCCTCCGCACTATAAAATCGTTTTTTTCTCTCCTATCTCACACACCCAAGCAATCCTCGCCCACCTCTTCGCGACATTCCCCGCCCACCTCGGCCGCATCGGCAACTACGAGCAGGTCGCGTTCCTCACGCGCGGGACGGGTACGCCGCATGCAGACATGCGTATGTAGGTAGTCACCGCTGGCGCAGGCCAATTCCTTCCTGGCCCCAATGCGCGCCCCGCCATCGGCGCCGTCGGGACGCTCGAGCGCGTGGAGGAGGACCGCGTCGAGGTCCTCGTGGTTGGCCCCGTGCGCGAGATCATACTGGCGCTCAAGACAGTACACCCGTCTCGTCCCGCCCCATCCGTTCTCGTATTTACTAATGCCCTGCCGCAGGTGCACCCGTACGAGGAGGTCGCGTACGATGTCTACAAACTTGAAGTACATCATTTGGATCCCTCAGAGCCAAGCAAGGTGCGTCGTGCGTGCCGACTCCAATGCACAGCTGCAGCCTGCACGACAGCGGAGATGGCTACAATTCGCGGTTCTTTTCCTGGCTGTTGTCGGGATCAGTCTCCGCCGTCGTTCGATGACCAATCTATAACTGGGTCTGAAGTGATCTTGATATAATTCCTCTCTCCCTCTCGGCCTGTTGAAATTCAACCTCTTTCTGTACTTGGATTATCTGTCGGCTCAAGTTCTTGTTCCCGTTCCTTGGCCATCTTACATATACTTTGACGACATGAAGCATGGCCCCAGTGGTGTAAGTGGCATATCTGAGTTTATCCGGATCTGTTTACGCAGAGGACCCCGGGACCATCCTGATATATAATCGACTTCCTTTCATTTTTATTCTCGTTCAGCTGCAGACGATGGTCTGGTAACCTGGCTAGGAGAGAGTGCAACTAGGACCTAGTGGTGTACGGTGCACACTCGCGATTTGTACGTTAGCTATATATGTACGCGTTCTCGCGGGAGGACCTGGTTCGACTCCAGGCTAGGCCGTTGTTGTGGCTGAGAAATATTTTCTGGTTCCATTTATTTTATCTCTGTTTTGTTCTGAAAATCAATCCCTCGTCGGTGCCCGAATTCGCACCTCCAAGTTGAACCACACCTTGCAAAGCTATTAGAAGCAGGTGGTTCGTCTGATCCGCGCTTTTTGGCTTCAACTCGACCTCTTATACCTTCATGCTCCAGATAATGCATGGCCCCGGTGGTGTAAGGTGCACATCTGCCTCTTTTACATATACATAAGTGTTATGCGGAAGGACCCCGTTCGATTCGGGGCTGGGGCATCCGCTTTCCACCTATTTTTTCATCCAGGCGCATTGAAGTATGGTATCTTTCTCTTGCTAGGGGGAATTTAGTCAAGGCCTGGTGGTGTATCGTGCACACTAGTGTAGTAAACCCTGAATCGCAGAAGGACCCGGTTCGACTCGACTTCGACGGTTAGGCCTTTCCCAGCTTCATTGTCTTTTTTTTCTTTTCTTTTTTTTCAACCAAAATGGAAAGTTCCCCACGTCGTTCCAAATCCTCCCTCCGCTGTGTATATCTCTTCCTGTAACAAACGGTAAGAGCCCCTATCTAGATTCGGCCATCAGTCACGTGGCGCCGACGCCAAGAATTTTGTCGCGTTCTCCTTCCACCATCCACCGCTCTGTCAGTGCGCCGACGTTTGGTCCTTTCGCGTTATCCATACGCAGCTGTGATTCGGATGCGAGTTGAGGTGAAAGCTATTGGTTTTCGTCGTGAGTGTCCGTCTGGTTTCAACCCTGCCACCTGCCTCAGCGACTCGGGCGCATTGCAACCTCAACACCCTCGCAGAAACCCCACGACGCGTCCTCATTCCAAATTGCAAGCTCCGGTCTCCCCGAGCCGAAGGCCTTTATATGCTAAATTCTTATTTCAGTTTCGATGACACGCATCTTCGGCTTCCCACTACCTCTGGGCAAGACCCTATCAGAGTGGGCTACTGAACGCTGCCAGCAGCCGATGATCATGGAGGCCGTTCTCATGGAACTCATATATGCGACGGGCGAACCTTTCGCTCCTGACGATTGGGAGCTCACTAAGGTCAAGACCAAGCACACGGAGAAAGGCTGCTTTTTTCTGAAGTTTCGCACAACCAACATGGGTGGGAAGAGAGTGTGTGCAATTGACGAGGCAAGACTTGCAAAAGTACAGGCTTTATTGGAGGAGATATTCAAACGAAATACTGGTGAATGCAAGCCCGGTTGGTGTATTGAACTGTATTGATTCGTGAGTAACGGTGTTCCTACCCGTCGTTTGTTTCACCAATCTTTTTAAAAAAAGACAATTCCCCTCCTACGAGCCAAGTTCCAGTCGCAACCCGATTCATCTATTACCACTATCCTTGTATGTGCCAACAATTTATCAAGTACCTGCACCTTGCATCGCAGGAACGTAAACCTTCTGGCTCAACAGCGTGCCTTTCGTGGACCAGGGTGCACTCAACCTCGACACACCTCGTAAATGTTGTTGTTAAAGTATTTTTGCTCGGGAACGGTAGTTGAGCTGATCAGGAAAAACCTCCTTCAAGTTCACGGTCACTTCGCTTTCTCTGCTCTCCCCAGGCGACGCCGGTGGCGCCATCGCCACGCTCGTCGCTAGCATCCTAGATGTTAGCGATCTCCACTTTTTCATCAGCGGAACTGCGTGTTTATAGGCTATTGTTATTCCTTAGGCGTGAATACCGCTCTCAACAAGCTCGTTCCCAACTCGGCCTCACCGGTCTCGACAAAATGTACATTATTTGCCAGTGCAAACTCTAGTTTTCCGACCGTTAAACCCGCTCTCTCAGAGTCACACATCTCACAAAGGACTAAACGTGAACGAGTAAATTTAACGAACACGCAATCTAGATATGAACCCGAGAATGATGTACATCCCGAGCAGATAAAACAAACACATCGAGAACGACGGACGTCCCGAGCAGATACAACCCAACTACTGCGCCCCGAGCACCTAAGCAACCAACGCCAGAATATAATTACAGGCCAAATCACTAAGGATTCAAAATGAGTAAAAGTAGCGGATTAAGGGAGGGTAACGCACCAGAACCACGGAAAGCGCACGCGATCCCGGTGTACTGGCCGTTGTGGAGGACGGCTAGGATGTCGGTAGGGTGTCGATAGGAATAGGATGTCGATAGGGTGGCTGCGAGTGGGTGAGAACACTGTCGAATGAGAGAAGGGAAGAAGAAACTCACCGAAGCAATAGGGCGTAAAAATACATCGAAACAGATAGTATATATGCCGAAAGGAAGAAAAGGTCAAGCCAGGTGATAGTACAAGGCATAGTAATGTCGGTAGGATGTGCTGCGAGAGGGTGAGAACACCGTTGAGTGAGAGAAGGGAAGAAGAAACTCACCCAAGCAATAGGTGTAAAAAATACATCGAAGCAAATAGTGTGCCGAAAAGAAGAAAAGGCCAAGCCGTACCAGAAGCAATGTAGGGGTATCGAAGATAAATACGCCAGAGAAGAGAGAGAAGCCAAGACGGATGATGGTACAAACACTGATAACACTATGTCAGACAATATCGTAGAAGGAAAACAAGCGTCCACTTACGAAATTCTCAAAAATAAGACTTGAAATCAAGCAGTGCTCCGATTCGGCGCAACAATTCGGATAGCGCAACCTCCAGGAGACCAGAAGGCCGGAGGAGGCGTCCGCAGCGTCAGACTTTTCTTGATGGCAATGACAGGAGGACCTGCAGCCGCAGTGGGCGCCCACATGCTCGCCGATAAACCAGCGTAACGGGCATCTTCGTCGGCAACAGGTACAGCAACTGGACCTTTAGGAACGAACGCCGGCGCAGAGACGTTGAGAGAGACCGGGTTGCTGCTGGAGGCGGTGATGGCTGGACCCTGGGGCTGGACTTAAGGAACAAATGCCGGTACCGATGCCTTCAGTGAGATGGACTGCTTGAGGTTGGTGGTGTCATCCTCTGCGGGAAGATCGACGGTGTTGGCTGATGCGGAGGAAGGGATGGCGAACGAGAGGCAGATGGGCGACGGCGGTGGAACCGAAGAGACAACGGTGTCCTTGCTGGGCGATTGGGGCCCGCTCTCGTCTACCAGTGTAATGTCCGTCTCGTCGTCGTAGTCAACCACTGAACTGTCGTCGTGGAAGGCTGTCTTGCTGCGTGCGGGGATGAGAGACTGGACCAAACCGACAAGGAAAGGAATGCGGTCCCAGATGAAAAGCGTCAAAGCCCGGATGATACCTACGATAAATAGGATTGCAAAGACCGCTGCGCGATACAGGATAACCAACGACGCGACGGTGAGGTGGACGACCGAAGTGGGGAACGTGGGCCACTTGAAGCTTGTGAACGGAACCTTCCTCTCCTTGACGAGGCGCGCAATGGACCGAAGTCGAGGAACGATGCGAATGCCGTTGAGGATGCTGGCGAAGGGAATGTGGTTCCAGATGAAGACCGCCAACACGCGAATCAGCGTCATGATGAACCCAATGACCAAGACCGCGGCACGATAAAGATGGACCGACAACGCAACGGTGACGTTGAAGACTGGAATGGGGGAGAGGTGCCGTACAAATGTCTTGAAGGCTGACGGGGATGCGACGGGGTTGGCGGAATCTGTGAACGTAGGAAGATACATCTTGGCGAGGCGTCCTAGGAACCGAAGGCGAGGACCGATGAGGATGATATCGAGGACGGCGAGGTTCGCGAAGATGACGATGTGAATGATGGTCGACATCGGGATGGCGGGGAAGACGGCGAGGGAGGCGAGCTTGATCTTGGCGATAGGCTGGACCACGAAGCAGCCGACTGTCCAGAGGACACCGAGCATGAATCCGAGAATGAAGTGGAGGGAAGCGGGCATTGTAAGGCGAAGTAAGGCGAGGTACAAGGCGCTGGGGGTTCTGCAGATGGTGGTAAAGACCAAGAGAGAATGCAGTTACGCAATGTCAGCCGCCGGGTTTTTATACACCCAGGTGGCTGACACCCGGAATTTCGCGAGTGGCTGACACCCAACCCAGCGTCAAATCAAACTCAACTTTCGGGGTCCACACGTCTCGGGATAAATTTCTATGTCTTCTGCTCAGTTTGTGTTCGTGGCAGCCTCCCATCTGAAGCCGAAATCTACAGGCCATGAACGGATATATTGGGCAGTGGGGAGACGGATACACCTCACGTTTCTTTGTTCTCTGACATAGCTATGTACGCGCTTCAGAACGGCCAGGGTGCGCGTAAGAGAAGGAAAGACAGGGCGACGTCAACGCGAACGGGATCACGTGCCCGTGTCTTGCTGGTCCGTGCCGCTTCGCCGCAGAATCTGAGCTCGATCTCAGCATGTCAATCGACAAAACGAGACGGCAGAATTGGTGTATTGCGACTTGTGAGCGCTTGTGAGCACCGCCAGTAGAATTTTATTCCAGATTGAGCCGCTGGATTCAAGTTGCTTTATATTTCCCTCGAGCTCTTTCCTAGTCACTCTAGACAGACTCGGACGCTGTAACAATACCAGCTCGTTCAGCTCTTTCCTTATCCCTTCCGAGTCGAGCCTTCCACTTAATCAGCCAGGGGTCACTTTTGAGCTTTCAATCGATACCTGGAAGCAAACGATCCGAAACGGAAACACGTCGCCGCCTTTTCGGCACAACGACTCGAGCTCCGAGTTCGCCCTTTTACACCTTCATGCTCCAGATATTGCACGGCCTGGGTGGTGTATCTGCGTCTCCTTGGTTTTCTTGAGCTTCGTGCAGAAGGACCCCGTTCATGATCCGGGAACTAAATTGATTTACTTTTTCTTTCAATTCTCCACCCTAGTACTTCGCAGACGGGTATCTTACCATGGTTTGGAGGAACGCAATCAAGGCTTAGTAGTGTATGGTGCACACCTGCGGTATATACCATAGTGTTCAATGAGTTTAGCAGGAGGACCCGGTTCGATTCCGGGTTAGGCCTTGGTGTTCTTTCTTTATTTTTTCTCTGGTTCAAAATCCTCTCCGCTTCCCTACTCTCACTGGGAGGATTCCAATCGCCATACGGTGCACAGCTGACCCTCATCTGTACATCTTCGCGAATCGACGTTGCATCAGTCACCTCTCCCATCCCCTGCGAGTCCAATCACCAATGCATACATACACCATACACCATACTACACTCTATAGATACGACACTCGCTTCCTACTAAGATTACGAATATTACCATTACCGCGCCACCCGCGCGCAGATTTTTTCCGTCCCTCCTTCTCCTTCTCCTCCTCTCTTTCCTCTTCCTTCTCTCTCTTTCCCTTTCTCTTTCGTCTCTCATACTGACACCACACCCGCATCCACCTCCAACACTCCGAGTCATCCAACTCGCTGCATTGGCTCCAGCCCCACCCACCCCGCTCTAATAAGTCGCGTTGTAAGTATCGTATAGTAGTCGTCGATTCTGTTTCTGTTTCAATTCGATTCGTTCGAGTGCGTGCGTGCGGGCGTGGGCGGGTCGGGGGGTATGTATGGTGATACAACAAGGTGTACGGTGTACAGGGAGGGGGCGTATGATGCGTTGCTTGCGGTCGTTGTATGCGCGTGCGTCCGGGGGCGGCGGGGCGGGGTCGACGTATGTGGGCGAATAAAAGGATGTGGATGCGGATGAGGGTGTACAGAGGATGGGGGTGTACAAAGGACAAAGGTCGTATGCGGATGCGGATGGATGGGCGTGAGCGTGAGCGTGACCAGACGACGCGAGTGAGGGTGGGGTGGGACGACTACAACGCGCTGGCAAGTACGGTAGGGTACGGAGACGGGTACTGAACAATAAGCTGAACTGAAATGGACTGGTAGATGGGATGCGACATGCAAAAAAAAGGAAGTAGACAGTGAAAGAAAAAGAAAAAACGAGGAGGGAAAGCAGCGCTACCACGCAGCAAGGCACGCCTACTTCGGCGCCTTTGCGATCTCGCGCGCGGCCTTGATGAGGGGCGCGAGCGTGCGCAGCGGCTCGCTGAGCGCAAAGAACGGGTGCGCGAGGAGCTGCGTCGCGTTCGGCCGCTTCTCCGCGTCGACCTCGAGCGTCTTGGCGAGGTAGTCGCTGAACACGGCCGACAGGTTCTCCGGGTTCGCGATCGTCGGCGTCCCGTTCGTTGCGATCAGGTACAGCGCCTTGAGCGGGTTCTGGTTCAGGTACGGCGGCTCGCCCTCGATCATTTCTGCGCGGTTAATGTTAATGCTAATCTTAGTAAAGGAAGCGAAGGGCGGCGCACCGATGGCCATGATGCCGAGACTCCAGATGTCGACCTTGGGCCCGTACTCTTTGCGCGTGACGACCTCGGGCGCCATCCAGTACGGCGTGCCGACCATCGTCGTGCGCTTGGCATGCGCGGGGTCCGAGATCTGCGCGCAGAACCCAAAGTCCGCTGTCCGGGCGTTAGAACAGTAATTTTCAAAGGAAATGCCCACTCACTGAGCTTGATGTCGCCAATAAGACTGAGCAGGACGTTGTCGCTCTTGATGTCGCGGTGGATGACGCCGTGACGGTGGAGGTGCTGCAGCCCCTGCGCCGTCTCGCGCGACACGGCGGCGATCTGGCCCTCGGTCATGAGGTTGGCCGTGACAACGTCCGTGAGCGACCCGCCCTCCATGTACTCCATCACGACCCACAGGTCGTTCTTGTGCAGGAACGAGTCAATATAATTAACGATATTGGGGTGCCGCGACGAGCGCATGACGAGGATCTCGTTGATAATCAGGTCCTTCTTGGGCTGCTTCTCGAGGTCCATCTGCTTGATCGCGACGGACAGGTTGGTGCCGACCTGGTACGCCGTGTAGACGCCGCCGGACGCGCCCTGGCCGATCTTGACGAGGCTGCGGTAGAGCCGCGTCGGGTCGGCGTCGGTGCAGATCTGCTGCAGGCGCCGCACAATGTCGCCGTCCTTGTCCTTGTCGCCGGGCTTCTTCTCGCGCCGCCGCGGGGTCGCGCCGGTCGCGCCGGCCTTTGCGAGCGAGGCAGCGGCGGCGCTGGGAGGGGCGGGGGCGCGCGGGGCCTGGGTGCGCAGCGGGAGGTCGCTCGAGGACGAGCCCGGGGACGGCTTGGGCGTGGTCGCCGAGGTCGTCGACGGCTTTGGCGGCTGGGCGGCGTTGCGGTCGCGGGTGGTATTTGAGCGCTCGACGGGCTTTGTGGGCGGCTTGGTTGGGGTACGCTGAGAGGTGGAGCGGTCGAGGGTGGGGGAGACGGCGGAGGGGGGCGTGGGGGCGGGGCGGTACGAGGTGGGTGCGGGAGAAGAAAAGGCGGACTGGGATTTTTTTGGTGGCGGGGGCGGCGACCGCTGCGCCGAGTTAGTAGAAGAAGAAAGGCGAAAAAAAAAAAAACTGACTGGATTCTGGAAGCCCTCATCGGGCTCAAAGGCACCCATGGTACCGAGCTTATCCCAGCCCTCCGCCTGGCCCTCCTGGTAGAACTTGACGATCTCCATGACGGCCTGGGGGTTCTTCTCCTGCTCGGAGCGCGAGATGCCGCTTTCCGAGAGGAGCTGCTGCCACTCCTTGGGCAGGCCGGTGAACTCGCCGGTGGACGAGTTGAAGCCGACATGGGTGAGATGGACGGGGTCGTAGGGAGTGCTGATCTCGGGGCGCTTTGCGGTGTTGAAGATGAAGCCGAGGACTGATTTTTTTGACTTTGAGGATGTGGTGGCGCTGCGGGAACGCAGGGTGGGCTGGGGGTAGTCTACCGCCTGCTGGGGCGGAGGTGGAAGCCCCTCCAGGGGGTCTGCATAGAAGGGAGCGTCGTGGTTATGGGCGACGACGGGGGTGGAGAGACGGCGGACTGCGGTGCCCTCTGCAGGGAAGATGTCGTTGAGGGTTGCGGTATTTGCCCGGGATGGACGAGGAGGGGGCGAGGAGGTGGCCATGGACTGGCTGGCGAAGGGATCTTGTGGTGGTGGCTGGGAGGAGAGGCTGAGGTTGCGTGCTCGTGGATGGGGCTTCTGGAGCAGCGAGTTCCTTCCCTTGTTGGGTGGGGGTGGAGGCAGACGCTGGGGCACAAAGGAACTCTTGGTCTGAGCGACGTGAGCGTTTGCGCCGGCGAGGAGGGCGTGGTACTCCTGGATCGATTCTCGGGATGGCCGCTGGTAGTACTCGCCGCTAGAAGACATTGACAATCCAAATGTATCACGTTTCACGCCCCCGTACTACACTTATCAGATCCAACACAACGCTACCATCCAACAGATACCTGCATTCAGCACATCCTCACCCCAGGCGCCCTCCATTCTGCACCCGATGTCTATCACAATTAAATATCTACACACAATTGCCGTTTACCTCCGCCGGCGGGTCCAGAGAGGAACAAAGGTCAAGGTCACCGTCACCCCCGTCGCCTAATCCCTCATCACACGGACCACGGAGACCCAACTGCGCAGCACTCCTAGTATTGATTCCGCGCCGCTGTGAGATCTATTAGTGGAGCGGCTTAGGGGCTGTGAGGATAAGTTAAGCGAGCACTAGAGAACTGTAGACTCAGAGAAAGAAAAAAATAAGTCGACTTTGAAACCATGGCCTAGCCCAGAATCGAACCGGGTCCTCCTGCGTAGTAATGGCAATTTTGGCAATGAAAGAATGGCAGGCGTGCACCATACACCACTAGGCTTTGATCGCATTCATCCGCAATGTTCGATAATCCGAGTCACTGTAAAGGAAGTCAGCCCTCGTGGCATTAATATTAACGCACCCCGTGTCCGGCAAAAATCAGGCTTTGCCTTCTCCATCCCCGAGCGGAGTGTTGTTCGGAACAAGGGAGGGAAGAAGGCACACGAAAAAGCACAAGAAAAAAATCAGAACCTCAAGGAACGACCCGACCCGGATTCGAACCGCGTCCTCCTGCCAAGACTCCACAAGTCGCAAGCGTGCACCATACACCACCGGGCCGTGATCGCATTTCGTCCTAGGCAGGCTAAGATACCTTCTTGCGATGATCCTAGTTGAATGACGAGTGAACGACCGAGTGATCCTCTGGTTGAACGGGAAAAAAGAATGCCCCCACCCTGGATTGAACAGGGTCCTCCTGCGTATAACGCGACAGTTCGGCTAAGAGACACAGATGTGCACCATACACCACCGGGGCCGCCCTTCGAAGCTCGATCACTGGCATATGAGGGGTCGCGGTTGAGGTGTTGCAGAGAGCCAAGCAGCGGGGGCACGAATGGGAGTATCTGAGTTGGATTTGACAAAACAGTCGAAGACCAGCATATTGCGGACATCAGCAGGCCGATGGAGAGAATGCGCGCGAGGAAATCGTTCAAGGGTTTCGCGCTGATTCCCGACCTGCTGAAGCACGGATCCACCGACGACGGCGTACACGAGGGTGTTTTGAGGGTGTGCGTCCAAGTTGAAGTCCGCTTCCAGCCCCTGGATTCGAGCTCGCGTCCAAACCATAGCTGTGCATCGACGACCGACGTCTCCGAATGCGTGCGCCCGAGTCGAGGCCCTGGACCGCGATAAACACGTTGAGCCTCGCACGTAAACCTGAACGGATGGTAAACACAACGAAAAGTGCCACCAACAGCGTTCAGCCCGTAAATCCCAGCTCGCGCGCAGCATCCAGAACGCGACCGAACCCACCCGTCGACGTTGGCGCAGAACGATGGAGGATGGAAACGCGATGCATCATGGAGGGGAAACGAAAAATAAATAAGAACGCAACCAAGACCCTTGGCGCCGCCCGTCACCGTGATCGCCGCGGCCGAATGATAATCGATAGGGGCTCCCAGAAACCTGAAGTCCTTTCTTTGCGCCTGGGTAATAGGAAAAGAAATGCTACGATGAGTCTAAGTAGGCGACTGGAAGAGAATTTGGGTGAACGAAACGAGGACGGAAGAGGGGAGATTTTGGTTGAAAAAAATCAAAAAAATCAAAATCAAAAAAAGGAAATCAAAAAAAGGAAATAATAATCACAGTGACCTAACCCGGGATCGAACCGGGTCCTCCTGCTAAATACTTGAACCCATCTACGCATCGCAAGTGTGCACCATACACCACTAGGCCTTCATTGCAATGCCTCCCAACGGTCATAAGAGCGTCCAGCAGCGATCCCAGAAGGAGAACTGAAGAAAAAGTGAACGTCGAATGTCCCAGCCCTGAATGGAACAAGGTCTCCCTGCATAAAATTCATTAGGGTTTTGTGAGCAGATGCGGGTGTGCACCATTCATTACCGGGGCCATGCTTCAGCTTGGATCATAGTCGAGCGGTCGTTACGGAATGAAAGTCATTTACTCCCGAGGCACCCGCATCCATATCGCGAATATCCCATGCAGCCCATGCGGGGAATCGGGAACGTAATTCGGACGAAGAGAGGAGAAGAAAAAAAAAAGAGTAAAAACGCTCAGTAAGGACGGCCTAGCCCGGAATCGGGTCCTGCTGCTTAACATTCTGGTGTTTCCATAAGCTGCAGCTGTGCACCATACACCACCAGGCCTTCATTGCAGTTCCTCCGAACGATATTAAGATACCGTCTTGCAGCGATCCCGGAAAGAGACTAAATCAAAAGAATGAACATTGATTGCGAACGCCCATCCCTGGGTCGAACAGGGTCCTCTGCTCTAATACTCAACCCCTGTCAGCAGACACGGACGCGCACCATACGCCACCGGGGCATGTTTCAGCCTATAAGAGGTCGAGGTTGAGTCGGAGGAGCCTAAGCTTGGACGACAATGCCAGAGATCTCTCGCACCGAGAAAACCCAGTATACCTGCTGGACCAGGGAGACGAGCAGTTCGTTTAATTTCGATAAGCCGAGCAGTGAGTGGTGGAGAGCGTCGGAATTAACAGCAGCTGGACGGGAGGACGCTGTTCAAGGTTTGCACGCCCACTCATGGCATGCTGAACCAACGTTCTCGAGGTCAGTTCCACCGACGACGGCATCTATGAGGGTGTACTTCGAGGTCAGTGAGACGGACGGACCAACTATATATAACCTTCTGCACGCGAGGCTGGCGCTTCAAGTCGATTGGGAGTTGAGCTAGAGAGTTCCGCGCGCAACTTACAAACGCCGGGCAATCGCGACGAAAACCGGGACGAAAACCAGCAATTTTCAGCCGGCAAACCCCAGCCCGCGTCAAGACAACAGTTGGGCAGAGGACACGAAAAAGACGCAGCGTAGGCGTCGAGCGGTGGAGGAAACGCGATGAAGGAAGAAATGCAACCGAGCGAGTAGATGTTAGAAGAGGACGTTGAGAAAGCGGGGCCACAGGAAGAAATGCAACCAAAGCTCTTGGCACCGCTGATCGCCAAGTCTCAAGATAGGGGCTTCCAGGAAATCGAGAATAAAATGTGTCTAATGTGCGATGCGGGCAGAATACATGGTAGTAGATACAGTGCGCGTAAGTATGCGTGAGAGGAATTCCTCAGAGTCGTGAGTTGAATACATTTAGAAAAAAATGGGCTAGTAGATTGCGCCCCAGCCTGAAAACGCAAAACATCAGCGGCAGGTTTGTAAATACAGCGCAACACAGCTCACCATGCCAGATGGTCGCGAGTCGCATGGGGTCCGTCGCCTCCGCGAGCAGCTCGTTAACCGTGTACTCCACGCTCATGGCCTTGTCCAGCTTACGCGCGACGGACGTGAGCGCGCGGTCCGCCGCCTCGTCCGCCGTGCCGCTCGCCATATCGATCCCGATCCCCGTGAGGCCCCTCTTGATCCCTGGGGCCGGCGCTCCGTCCGCGCCCTTCTGCACCTTCTTCAACTTGATCTCGCTCGCGGTCCACGAGTGCAGCGGGTCGTGCTTGAACACCTCGAGCACGGTCATGATAACCTCGGACCCTTCGCGCAGCACGCGCAACGTCTCCTCTGCGCAGCGCTGGAACACGCCCTGCGTGCCCGCGGAGCCCATCCCGTCGATCACGTCCGCCGTCATGCGGAACGGCACCTGCTCCGGCACTTTGAGCAGCTTTCCCTGGTCGAACGCGATCCCGAGATCGATGTGCACCATCTCCCCCGTCTCGGTGTCGAGCAGGATGTTCGACTGATGGCGGTCACCGAGCCCCAGGACGTGCCCAACGATCGACGTCGTCGCGACGCTGCGAATATAGTTGAGACGCATCGCGAACCATGCGCTCGGCGTTTTGTGCTTTTCGGTGAAGAAGTGCCGCATCACGGGATGGAAATGCTCCTTAGCTTCCTGGTACCGTATGAGCTGCTTCTGAGGCTCATGAGGGAGGGCGTTCCCGAACTCTTCCCATGCCTTTTTTATGTAGGCACCAGCGACCTGGGGCGGCCAGTCGGACTTCTTGCCATATCTGCAAGTATAATTGGTAAACCGTCCGAGCAAACAGAAACGTAGTCTGTCTTACCGGAGATGGGCATCGGGGAGCCAGGCCGTCATAGGCATGGAGTTGATAACAAACTCCAAAACCCCTGCCTGTCGACCAAGGGGCACAATCTTGTAGCGTCGCACGTTCAGTGCACGCCTATTAGTCTCCCTGTCGCCTTGAAGCACGGTGTTGACGAGTTCAAACACTTGTGCCATAACGGCGTCCTGCCGCAAGTCATCGTTCCCCTCGCCTTTGAACTGTAACCAGAAGGTGAGTCGGGTTCCGATGGAAGTTGAAAGTATACTTACCAGCTGCTTATACCTTGCGCCGTCCGAACCTACGCACTTACAAATCTTCGGCAAGTTGACCCCACCTGCGGTCTCGAAAGTCGTCTCGAATTTGTCAATAAAGACACAGTGCTCGTAGTTGGAGCTGGGGTCGAGCGGCATGTGGTAGGTCAGAACGGGCACCTTGACACCTGCCAGCTTGCAAATCGCTAGCTCCGCCGGAATTGACTGTGCTTTGGAACCGGGAGGGCGCTTTTGTTTGGACGCGGGAATAATCGAATATTTCGCCCACTGGAGACACGCACTAGCGACTCGTTCAATTTCCTTGATACGGGTTGCGTGCTTAGCGTCCCCTCGCAAACGATCGAAGATTTCAGTTGCTGCTTCGCTTCGGGCAGTCGTCTGTGTGCCCGGCGAGCTATGTCGGCTAGACTGGCGTCTATGATCTTTCGCGGGCTCTTGTTGCTCCGGGGGCAGTAAACAGTAGACCTGATATACACTGTGAAACGGATGGTCCATGCACATGCGGAGGACAACTCTCTGCAGGTTTTGCTGATTCTTCGTTGACTCCGACGTCTTGGAAAGCCTCGCAGACAATTGATGCTGCCGTGAAATCAGTATTGGATTAGAGAAAACGAGCGAGGGACCTACAGCCAGAAATACGAGTTTGCGTGATGGTATCCTGGCCAGCGCCGATTCAACCTTGTCTTGGAACTCAAATTCTGTCTGCTCGAAGTTTTCAAACCACAAGGAGCACAGTCGGATGGCACCGTCACCATCGAAGGCATCCGACGCCTCGAGAGCGCGGGAATACATCTCGATAGCGTGTGCAAGGAAGGTCTCGCGAGAGCTGTTGTGTTTCTGGAATAATTCCTGGTCGGCTTTGAGAAGCGTTTCGGCGTCTTTGATAACCTTCCCTTGGATGCTTGAATTGGGTTGGCTTTTACGAAGCTTAATTTCTTGGATCTTCCGGTCGACGAGAACTCTCCATCTGATAGCGTCTGGCGAATTGTTGATAGCCTTGTATTGGTGTTCAGCAAAAATCGCGTATTGATGGTAGACTTTTGCATGAGAATCTGTGAAGCGGGCGGGAGTCTTGGTCCTGAAGCTGTTGACATACGAAGTTGCTGGTTCAAAGTAGCGCGCCGAGATATCTGTTGGATTCTCCAAGCGAGCTTCAGTCATCCAGGTGCCCTGGGTCGTGTGAATTACAAACATAGTAAAGATGATCGAGGCTTACCAGGCGGGCGAGGATGACACCTTTTTCGGGGTGAGGGAGATGCGTGATGTCGAGGTCTTTCAAAAACTGTACAGCTAATTTCTCCTCCTTGTGGAGTCGCAGAACACTGGCGAACTCCTCGGACACTTCGAACGATGGCGATCGCTCTAAGCGCTGGGCGCGAATCACCGAATTGAGGGCGATCTGAATCTGCTGGGCATCTCTAGCAGCGTGCGATAGTCTGAGGAGGCATTGTTTCTCGACGTCAAGAAGGCACTGGGAGAAGGGCGAAACCAGTGTTCCGATTTGCTGACGTTCCTCCTTCCTTCTAACAGAACGAACGAGCGAAATCCGCGTCGCCATCACGTTCTCAAAGTCCGAAAAACTGTGAAATGATGAGGTGATGCACACGCATGAAACCATCGAACTCACTCAAACCCCTTCCCTAGGTTGATGAATTCTCTCCACTGCGACATATCGACTTGGCGAGAGGTAAGACGGGTTTGAGTGTTCGGCTGAAACCATTGGGCCACCTGATTAAGACACATCAAGTTCTGTGCGGCGTCACGAATCTCCGCCAAGTTCTCCGAGCCGAGCACTCGAAGCCGTCCCATTTCTTCAGAAATTGCGCCGCGGACAACAGACTGGATTACACGAGGGTTGCGTTCACGGTAAACGGCACGCAGGGCGTTATAGAGCGGGGCCCCAGGATTCCCTTCGCCCTTTCGCTCAGGAAGATCCCAGGTCTCCGTTCGCCACCCAAGACGATAATTCATGCCCGGCGAATTGAACGTCGTGCCCGTGCCAAACGAGGAGCTCTGCAGGGTGTCGATCGCAAGATGATTGAATCCGAAAGAGTGGAAGGATTGCAACAGCCCGTCTGCTTCTCCCGTGTCAGTGCTCCCGGCCTCCAAAGCAGCGCTATGGAATCGAAAGGCCTTCTCCCACTGCTTTTCGTGGTGGAAGCGTTTGATGAGGAATTGGTGCAGGTCTTGAGTCTTTATACCGTAAAACCCGTCGGGCTCGTCGATATGACTGTAGATCTCGTACAAAATCTGCTCTGCGGCCCGATCATCCGTGGCAACGCCCCCAGAATACTCAGCAGCAAGTTCCAAGAAAAGGAGTGATGTGGTGTATGCACCGCATGTTATAGAATTTCGAGCGAGCAAGGTATAGTCAATGGCGAGCCATTTGTCATATGCCAAAGCGTCGAAGTCGGCTTTGGCCC